CTTTCTTTCTTTCTTTCTTTCTTTCTTTCTTTCTTTCTTTCTTTCTTTCTTTCTTTCTTTCTTTCTTTCTTTCTTTCTTTCTTTCTTTCTTTCTTTCTTTCTTTCTTTCTTTCTTTCTTTCTTTCTTTCTTTCTTTCTTTCTTTCTTTCTTTCTTTCTTTCTTTCTTTCTTTTTTACTTTCTTTCCTTTCTTTCTTTTTACTTTCTTTTCCTTTCTTTTTTGATCTATAAAGTTCCGAATTCTTCTTTTTTTTTATATATATATAATCTAAAAGTTTTACTTTCACCAAAAATAAATTATTTAATAAAGGCTTATTGTTCTTATTGTGTTTTTTTGTCTTGTTTTGTAAACTTAATAAATTTATAAAAAAAAATTAAGGATTCGATTTAAAATATCAATAAGTTAAACAGTTATTATCAATTATAATATATAATAATTTGGACAAATTTTAAGCTAATAGATTGATAAAAATTATCCGACTTTATAACTAAGATTGTTCCTGTTTCCGTGTTATTCATTTCCGTTTCCTACAAATTTGTATTTCGTTCCCTAATATTAATACATGGACTCTTTATCTCCGCTTCAACTTCCCGCACATTTTAATTAGTGCTGTTATAAACGGCTCATATTGAGCCTATTTTTCTTTAAAAAACGGCTAACTTAATATCTTCTCCAGAAAAAAATTATTACGCAACCCTTACTATTTCGCTCATAGGTGGAGCAAAGGTTTGCTTAGACAATATTTTTCTGGCTTAAAATATTGAGTTAGCCATTTTTAAAAATCGGTTCATATCGACAACCAGCGTCTACATGACAGGATTTTCACTGGATGCGAACACCCTTCAAAAACCTTTGCCTACTCCCCCTAAAAAAATTTCGCAGGCTTCGGCGGCGGTGTCTCCCTAATATTTTTTTTAAACCTTTTTAATTTTATTGATACTCTTTTTCAGAGAATTTATAAAGGACAACTTAAATTAATCTACCTCTACTACCAACTATCGATATTTTGTTTTTTATAGATAATAATTTCAATTAAAACCTCCATTATTTACAATAAATTAATTATTATGGCATTATGAGCTTGCTGAAATATCTAAACCTTTTAAAATTACATTTAAAAGGATAGCAGAAAGTTTTATTTGGAAAACTATGCGTATGATTGTTTGCAATATATAGATTTGGTCGATGAATTATATTATAATAATTCTTATGATAAAAGTATTAATTTTTAAAGCAATAAATTTTGTCCTATTTCATCTCGAAATTTAATAGATAACCCCCCAAAAAAAATTTATCTTACCCCCATTAAAGCAGCCTACCCCCTCAAAAAATAGGATGAAAGCTATTCCTACCCCTCCCGCTCATGTAGACGCTGTCGATAACACTACTTTTAATACCACCTTACCATATTTTTATGGTATAAAAATGGAAGAAGAAGAGAAAAACTATTTATAAAATTAAAAATTATTCCAATTTTTCGAGAACCATTAGCCTTTAATACTTATTAATCTTCATGTTCATAGGGCATAGCCAAGATTTTTGCCAAGGGGAGGAGTGGAAGGAATTAAATGGGGTTTTCCTACATGAATCTTATTGAAAGATCTTAAGGCCCACTTATTGCAGGCCATTGGCTTGATTAGATTTTTATTTTAGAAAAAATTATGTTTTTACTAGGAAAAATATTATGCAAGCCTTAAGATTTCATAAGTGGCACAAAGAGTTGATCATCTTATAAAATAAAAATCTCGATTCTTACTTTCTTTCTTTCTTTCTTTCTTTCATTCTTTCTTTCTTTAATTTTATTAACTTTTTTACTAATTTTTCTTCCAAAGTTCTTCCTTTATAGTGATATATTATTTTTAAAAAAAATTGGGAGAGGGAGTTAAGGAGGGATGATAATTTGAAGAAAGGAAAATTTTCCTTTGCTCCCCCCTGGTTACGCTTATGTTCCAGTTCATTCAAGATTTTCACTTTTGCGATGGGGAAGAAGAAAAATCTTCACTAACCAATAACAATTAGTGTTCATAGAACTAAACATCATGTGTATTTTTTTCTTTTTATGAAGTACTTCTTCTTTCTTATCATAAGAAAAAAACGGGGGGGGGGGAATAGAAATTTCCCATACTTCCTTGTTGGCTTCTTAAATAATAATTTTTGAGAAAATGTGAGGAAATATTGAAAAATTTAATATAAATTACAGGTTGTTTCATCAATTTTTTAAAAATAAATCAAATAGGTCAAAATTATTTATCTAAAGCTTCCTAAAAAAATTTTTTATACACATCATCATCATTTATAATTCTGAGCATTCCAGGAGTTTCTTGTGGGAGACTGAGAGGTAATGAGAGTTGAATTGGACTAGAGCAAAAATAGATCATGAATTCCAATATATATAAATATTTTCACAATTTACTATGGTAGTAGTTGTAGGGATTTTTTTTTTTAAAGAAAAGTTAAATTAAGCTCTGTCAGCTGTAGATGCTAAAATTTATCATTTTTAGGAGTTCAATAGGTGCTAAAAAATCTAAAATATTTATTCGATATGGCTCTCTTAAATTTTATTGGCGTGTTCCTAATAGCTCTTCCTTAGTAACCCCCCACTCCATTAGTCAGAAAAACGATATTAAAAACTAATTAAAGTGATAACCATTCAAGTCTTTATAAAATAAATATCGTCCATGTGTGAATTAGAATGATTATTAGTATTTTTTTCGGCATAATAGTAAATATCAATAATAAAGGTTAGGTTTTTGAGCAAAAGCAATGATAATTTTTGTAACAAATTTACAATTTTTCAAAGAAAATATCAGCAAAAAAAACAGGCTTATTATGTAAAATGTCCAATCAAGTGTTCAAATTAATGGCTAAAAAAAATGTTATAAACCCACCTTATTACACGCAACAAAGCAGATAAATTTCACAAATTAGTGTTTAAAGAAAAGTTCACTACTAACCCCGGAATTAACAATCACAAATTTTGATAAATTTAATATATAATCTTTTATTTATATTCATATTCTTACTATTCAACTAATCTCTTTCGCATATTTTTTTACATTTTAACTTTTATTTCATTTATTTTTACAAATTTTCTATGTGAAAAAAGATAAAAATATATGTATAAAAAGACAATTTTTTTAAAAAATATATAATAATTTCATTATAATACTTTTTAAAATACTTTTTTAAATATAAAAAGGATAATAATAATAATAATAATTTTTTTTCTCTTTAAAATTAAGAAAATAAGGGTCAACAAATGGTTATATTTATATATAAATTTCTTTTGTTCGGTGCAAAAAATTGAATGAATTTTACTTCCCTTTTATATTATTATACTCATTCCGAATTCACTTTTAATTGTAACATGTTTTTAAAAATAAGGTTTATTAATAAGAAAAATTAATTTAATTGGTTAACAAACAATAAGAGAATAAGTTTAATTGGTTTATAACACAATTTTTCTAAGCATTTATTTTACTGTAGTGTGAGTCGGAGACAAAAGAAGTATTTTTTCATTTTATTATTGATAAAATTTATTTTTTGTTATCATAGTTTTTATGATTTTAGGCCACGACCTTTTTAAGGCTAACTAAAGATTCTATGAAGTACTGATGGTCACGGTCCGGTCTTTGGTCCGGACTAAACCGGTACCCTAGGACCCCGGACCGGAACACAATTCTTAAGAAAAAAATATATCCAGACCGTAGTCCTAAATAAAAAGACCGATTTGTTTTATCATTTTATTAAATATAATTTTATTATATAAACAATAAAATTTATGCAATGGTATTGAAGAAAATGATTTTGTGCTTGTGGAGGGCATATTAAAATTAAGAGTAGATTGTGTTTTTTGAGATATTTTCATTTTCATCATTAGAAGAAGTATATATTTTATGTTTTATCAGATGTCTGCTTAAGGTACCTAATTATTTTATTAAGAATAAGGTTAAGTAATTTTTACAATAAATTATACAGACAGTTTTCTTAAAAAAAAATAGAACTATTAATAAATAACTAAAATGTTTTAATAATATTACTGCTTATTTTGATTAATTTATTGCTTAAAAAATTATAAACAATCATTTTGTTACTAGTTGCTGACGGACGATACATTAAATTTGGTACTGCAGGTGAACACATACTCTATGTAATTTATTGGGACTATAAGTAAAATGTTTCTTGGACGAACTTATGGTTTTCATATTGTAAAATAAAAATTAACAAAATCTAAAATAACTCCTCTAGAAATATATCATAAAATAAAATATACAAAAAAATTATATTAATTGTATAGTAAAGCAAACTTAAACAATAATAAAAGACCGGTCCGGACCACGGTCCTCAAAAAAGATCGGTCCGGTTCGATCCCGGTCTATGACCGATAGGACCGGACCGTTGATCTTCACTACTAGGAAGAAAACTTGTGAAGGGGCATGGTTAATCATCCTCAACAATATATAGTGTTTGACCTTCTCGAACCCCATTAATGTATAGAGTGGGGTAGAAATCTAACTGTTAGGACTTCCATATCGTAGATTTTACGATAAATAGCTATTATGAGATAGGAATTTCTACATTTTGCGAAGGTAAATTTAAAACTGCTTTACCAGTATAAATATAATTTAAATAATCGATAAAATTTGGTTCGTGTTGTCTTCTCAGAACCTCCCAATCCCTTCTCGTGGCAAAACTTATTTAGAAAAGAGTTGCAAAATATTGCCTAATTACCATTTTCGGGTAAAATTAATTAGAAAGTCAAGGTAAGAAGCGCCAATCTTAATTCCCGATAACCTTATTCTTTTTGGGATTCATAAATGTCTTTCACTTCCAGGCCTTTTCTACTCGTCAAAAAAATTTCTACTCTGTTAGCCTGACCGAACCATAAAATTGCGATTTAGACCTGGCTATAAATGGGAGAAATTGGGGAGGTGGGGGAGAGTGTAAATATCTTTACACATTTAATATCTAATATATATATAAAAAAAAAGAATTCTCACAGTTTTTCGGTTTGAATAGGTATGTATTTAGGAATGTGTAGGATATTTCTGTAACTGCAATCGATACTTTCGCTGGAACAAGAGCATTTTCCTGGACATATAAGCAATAGCGATATGGGGTTAACGTTATTATTATTATTATTAGAACTTTTTGATGTATCGGGAGCTGGCCCGCTCGGATACTCCTCCTCCTCCTTGTCAGCGATGTTATATTTATCGGGCACTCTTTGGTGGGGTTCATTCGTGCCACCATCCTCCATCATCATATTATTTTGGTAATTAAGATTGTTATTTCTTTGGTGGAGGTCTAGATCGTTGAAACTGTTTAATCCGCCGTAGCTGTTGGAGGGTTTAAAATTTTGGCGCTTCCCGTATTCCGCGCTTTTAGGCGCACTATTCTCCGCCATTCTGTCTTCCTTGTCCATCAAATCGTTCACCAAATCGGCCCGGAAATAGTAATTATATTTAGAAGTGGAACCTCGGACTCCTCCCATCAACAAGAGCTCCGACACTACACCGATAAATAAATGCAATATCATAATTTTGCCTAAATTATAATTTATTTATTTTTAAAAAAATTCAATTTCGAAACTACTTTTTTAAAAAATAAATAAATAATAAAATAAATTAATATAATCTGATTTTTCACATATGATTTTTTACTATAATCAAAATTTTATTTATGTATTTAAATATATATATATTATTTTTATTAATAAAATATTTTTGAAACAGGTAAAAAAAAATATTTAAAAAATATATTAAAAAATAATAATTTTCGATAATAAAATTTTTATTTTAATAAAAATGTATAACAAAAAATTTTTTTTAGAAAACATTTAATATTTTTTCTTTTTTATTAAAAAATATATTTTATTTTTTTTTAATATCAGAAAAACGTAAATTTAATAATGTTTAATTTTATATATTTTTTTAAATTATTAAATTTTTTTTCCTCCTAAATGATCATCAATTCTTCTTTAATGTCTTAAAAAATTTTAATAATAATTTTTGATTCTGAAGGAAGGGAAGAAATTCATCTAAACATATTTTTGTTTGTGGGTTCATATTTAAAGAAAATATAGACATTATACTATAAATCTGGAAAATAATAGAATTAGAATGAAATATAGAATAGAATAGAATTAGAATATGAAAAGCAGAATAGAAAATAAGGAGACAATGAAATTATATTGGCTAGGCGTCAGATTTCTCTCCAAAAAAAAATGTTACTTAAATTGTTTATAATATTTAATTAATTTTTTGAAAATAAAATTGAAAATCAATATAAAAACAAATTTTATTTTTTATATTTTAGAAGCGTGTTCCTTTGTAAAATAGATTAAATAATGATTTAATAAATCACAATTAATTTAGTTATTTAATTTTTTTGCGAAATTAGAAAAAAAAATGCAAAAAAATTATATATTCTAAAGGCAAAGGAGGGAGTTGCTGGAAAATAGTTAAAATTCTCTAGATCCTGAGCTCATATTTTTTATATCATTTCTACCCCTCTAGATTATTACTCATTTAAAACAGATTATTTTATCAATAAAATATTTCTTTCTACAAGTTTTAAATAATGATAAAAATAATTTTCAAATATTTTATTGATTCAAAAAAAAAATTATAATTATTAACCTAATATTTGTGTTTTTTATATATATATTTTATACAATTATTTATTTTTTTTTAAAAAAAAAGAAAAAACTTATTGAGGATTTTCGAATCTATAATACTTTTTTAAGCTATTTTCTATAACATCTGTTTTTTTTTAAAAAATCTATTGGTTATATAAAAATATACTTTAAAATACATTATAATTACGATACTTATTTTATTATTTTTTATTAAATTAGCATATAATACAACTTGAAAAAATTAATTAATTTTTTTTTTAAAAAAAAATTTATATAATTATTATATATTTTTTTAAATTAATACAGGAAAAATATCTAATATAAACTTTGATTTAAAACTCTTTTATTATAAAATAAAAATAATAAATTAAACAAATGGAAATAGAGCATTTCTTTAAAAATATTAATTTCTAAAGTTTAGATTATGTATACATCTTTAATTAGGTTCTATAAAATTTCACCCCTGTTCTAGCGTAAGGTTGTGACCACCAAAAGAAATCGCAATTAAAATCGTCTCGAATTTAAAAAGGGTAAAGTCGCTTGATTTATAAATTGTAGGAGGTCTAACATTCAAACCCAGTGCATACCGCGCCTTAGGAAAGGAATGTAGGCTGCACTCGGTGCTAGATGCAGACTGGCTATGCTGCGGTCTAGTTATCAAATTTCACCTTCACCCCTTCTCCTCATAATTACATTTAGCGGAATTTAGGCCGCATCTCATAAGGCGTATTCAGTTCACATGGTTTTTTTTTACCAAAAACAGGTCCAAATTGATGGGTTGAATTTTAATTTAAGACGGGAAAAAAGGGGGAATAACAAGCAACACGAAGTCACATATTTTACCTCGAAATGCGCATATAAAATCGTACTTATTATTGTATGTATAAAAATAAATTTTGATTTGTATTTTCCTTTAGGTCTTAGACGAGGCCCGTACTTAGCGGAGGGTGGGTGGCAGAGCTATAACCCCCCGTCGCCCCTTCCCAACTAACAAAAAAAATTGAAGGTACAAGGCTAAAAAAATATATTCCGAAAAATATTACCGTTTTTGTTTTTTTATTTATTTTTAATTAGATAATAATCATCACATATAATATTTATACATTTATTTATATAACATTCACCGCCGAAATAAATAATACTACTAAATTTATTATATGCAGTGTTGTTAAAAAATTATATTTATTATGCAAGGCTGTAGATTTCGCTAAAATAAGGCAGGAAGGTTTGGAACCTCTATTTCCCCAAATCTCGAGGCTTACATATTTTTTTTCGGTTCTATTTATTAACCATTCTAATAAAATTTCCCCACAAAATCATTCATAAATTCTCCCCCCCCCCCCCCCGCAAGAACTTAAGTATTAGGTATATAAAAAAAAATAGTAACATATAGAATTATATATAAATGAAAAACGAAAATAGGATATCGTTTTTTTAAGTTAATAATCTCTATATTTATTTCTAATTCTTGAGCTATCACGTCAATTCGGCGCGGAAAATTCGGCGCACGACAATTCGGCGCACGACAATTCGGCGCGACAATTCAGCGCAGGCGCGGCGACAATTCAGCGCGTATTTATTACAGTTGCAATTTATTATATATTACTTAGTATAAAAAAATAAGGATGATTAAATAGAAATCATTTTGAATTTTGGTCCTATTAATTATTTCTCCATATTTATTTTTACAAAAATCTCAATTTTATTTACTGAATGTGTAATATAAAAAAATTAACAACCAATATTTATACGACGCAAATTTAAAAAAAAAGAAAGAAGAAGAATTTCTTCAAGTTCCAGCAATTTACTTTTCAAATGTAATTAAAAATAGTATCGAATTTATTTTTCCGATACTGGCGCCTCAACCCATTTTTTATAATTATTTCATTAAGATATATTTGAGTAAATTGTCGAGGTAAAAAAAAGATATTATATTTTGCAGTGGTGTGCATATTATTAATCTGAATAAATCTTTCACTTGTTATTTGTGCTCTGAATCGTTATTATCTTACTCCCTAAGTTCATTTCACATCCTTTTTAAAAGTATTTTTTTTATTTATTTATAACCCCGACTTTTAGACCTATTATTTGGCCCTGAATACATTTCCCTATTTTGCGATACTTTCTCTCCGCAATCTCTTCAGGAATATCTTCGATACTAATTCCAACAAAACAAACGTGCCTGGGGTACAGTATCGCTTGAAGCCACTTTTTAAACGTACTATTTATAATAATGTCAACCTATAGAGGTCGATAGAATCTTACGGGGGACCCTCTTTGCATTAGTGGCGGGACCCTCCATGTTTAATTTACTCCATTTTTTTGACATTTGTTTTTCTATGCCCCCCCCCTCCCTGAGGCTATCTGGCATCTTTAAATCATAAATCTTTTTTTATATCTGAATATTATATACATGGATGAGAAGGTAATAGAAGATTGCGGAAGATGTGCCATCTTCGTTCATTTTTCAGGTGGATAAAATATCTCAATTTTTTTCTTACTTTACTGTATTTCTTTAAATGACAATGTTTAAAATATTTTTCGAAGCCAAAATAGGAGAATCACATTTCCAAGAAAAATGGCTAACCCGCCACAAATAGATGGATTTTATTGTGGAAAGTTATAATAAAGTTTCTTATTAAATATGACAGTCCTAAACAATGATGGACTTGCCATAAAGTTGGCATTGTGCTCATAGAATAGAAAGAGTGGCTGATTAGAAAAAAATAATAATATATTAAATAATTTATTTATTTATTATTACCGACACCTTATACGATTATTGACAGGTTCTAATAGACAGAGAAACTACAACTTTAGCATATCTCGCCTTTATTACATCTTCATTTTGCCTCCACGGAACATTTAATATATAATTGTCCGTTCCTCATTATATCCCCTTTCGAACGGACACATGGAGCTAGACCCAACAACATAAATATTCAATGGCTGCCAACGTTCAATATATCAATAAAATTTGTAATTTCTTTTCTCTTTAATCGGTACTTTATCAATGATAATTTCTATTTTTATAATAAAATATTTTTTATTTTGAAAATTATTATTATTTTCATCGCGTTAGTTCTCTTTGTGTCACTTCAACCATAATTTATTCATGAGAGCAGGAAGAGTTTTTCACTCCAATAGTAACTCCCAAGAAACCCGCATGAAATCCTATCACTTCAAGTAAGTCTCACAATCTTCTTTTCACTCTTCTTAATCCCTTATAGCTTTTCATATATATATATATATATATGTATATTTTATAGTCATACATATTTCATATGTGGCTATTTTCAGAGACAATGATTTTTCTAAAGTGGGTGGTTCCTAAGGAAATGTTTCTAGTAGCAATTTCCTTTTTAGTTACAAACATATGATATTAATCTCTCGAGTAATATTTTTTTTCATAATACACTTCCCTTTTAACCAATGAAATGTTATGTTGCGCAAAAAAAAGAAGATAAATTTGACAAATTATTAGCCTTTGTTTAGGAAATACAAAAAACTTTCAGAAAGCATGCCCCTAGGAAACTGTCTTGGAAAAAAAACGTTTTGTCTGGAAATGGCCTTAGATTCAATCTTATATCTATAATAATTATTTAGCTAACCATTTCTTGAATTACATTTTTTTTTATAATCAATAAGAAGTCATATTTAATATATATAATAGTAACCGTCAACCACCGTTTAAAATGTTTCTTTCCTTTTAAAAACATATTTTATAAATAATTTTGTGTAAAAAAAAATTTTTTTTTTTCTATTTTAAATATAAAGTAATAAAATATTTTTTTAAATTATATAACCAAAATTTATATAGCTAAATTTTAGGGTAAAAATTAAGAGGCATTACCTCCTATACATCCTTCCAATTCATAAAGTCCCATATTCACCGTAAACCATTATGTTATGTAGCATATTGTAGAGATCTGCAAAAGTAGGTCCGAACCGTACCCGACTCGAGGCCTCGGCCCTATTTTAA